TCTACATTTCGGTCCTGACCAAAATCGAATTGGTTGATACCGAGCGAATTTCTACATTTTTGACTAACAAACTAGTTAATAAATCATCAATAATTCCTGCAAGAGTACCAGTGCATAAGTGTGAGCCATTAATAACATATTGTGAGTAAATACTCTACGTTTATGCGATAAATAAGATCAGAATCTGAAATAATTACTTACCATATCTCCGGCGTGCGCTAGCACAGGTAATCCCAAACAAAACAAATATTTTCGGATAAGCAGGACCGTATCGAGAAATGATACGGCATCTACCTGGAGTTTATTTCACTATACCATAATGTCATCTGTTAATAACCAAAACTCATCTGAAAGCAACACAACAGCTCAGTCCTACTCAAACGTACTTACTCAAAACACAGTCAAGTAAACAAACAAGGATCAAGCGATTATATTTAATTCTTCTGATGGAGCTAAGCTACAAGACTACCTACTTAAGCTTGGTCCAATCGTCAACCCGAAAAATATATTGTTCTGTTCCAGAATTTCTAACAACAGAATATGTATATATTTAGCAACTAAACATTTAGTAGACACCTTTTTAGAGAATCATGGACAAATAGAAGTAAATGGTGAGATCTTGAGAGGACGGAGATTAGTTTCTCCTTCAGACCGTCTAGTGATATCAAATGTGAGTCCTACAGTTCCTCACTCAGTTCTTAATGAAAAACTACTGCAACTAGGTCTGAAACTCGTATCGCCAATTTCATTCTTGAGAATAGGTGCTCCACTTCCAGAGTACAGTCATATTCTGAGCTTTCGAAGACAGGTTTATATAGAACCCAACCAACAGTCCCTAAATATCCCAGACTCCATTGAAATAACTCATGAAAACCTAGCCTACCGCATTTTTCTATCGCTAGATAGTCAAAAGTGTTTCAAATGCAGCAAACAAGGTCATATAGCTTCCCAGTGTCCACTACCCTCCCAGCAACGACAAACAAATCCACATGAGACCCAATCTACCAAAGTACCTGAATCAACAAGCACACACCACACAAGCAATCAACAAATAATAACAACAGAGACCCAAGAAACAGCACTATCTCAACATATACCTAACCCGCGTGAAGCAGATGTAGATCTACCACATACTAGCCAATCAGTAATCGACAAAAGTCCAATCCCCACCAGAAAAACGCAAGAGCTGATACCAGAAATACAAAATTACACCCAACAAAACGAACCGGATCAACAAAATAGAGTTATACCACACACTTCAACAGGCAGTAAATATATAGCTACTCACAACAACCCATCCCCAAAACGCTACTTCTCAGAAACAATCTCACCGACAACTCTCACGCATGAAAATTCAACTCCTCCTACATTTGCAGTTCCCAAAAATATTAAATCAAAGAAACATAAAACAGATATGCAGTCATCCTACATCTCCCAAGACGCTCTAGCAACTGCCAAAACATTCATAGACAACCAGATGCCTGCCCTTCCCTTGAATAGTGACCAGTTTAAAAGCCTTCTCGAGAACAGTCATGGAACACAAGACATCACAAATATAATTAAAGATTATACGGATGACATTAAAGGACTTATAGAAATGATACTATTAGTATACCCCCACATAACCGATAAAACAGTCAAAAACAGATGCACACGACTCCGTAAAAAGCTAGAACGCTACATTGGCAACAACACTAACGAATGCCTTAGTGATACCTCCTCCATAGATTCAACTTTCTAATTACCTGAAAATCGTAATGCACATTGGACTAACTTCTTTGTTGCAGTGGAACCTCAATGGGTACTACAGTCATCTGAACATGTTACAGAAACTCATATCAGATCAAAATCCAGACATAATCTGCTTACAGGAAACTCGCTTCACTGATACCAACACACACTCACCAAAAGACTACAAGGGAGTCTTTAAGAACCGTAATTATACTTCCAATCAAATAGCTAGCGGTGGCATTGCTATATATATTAAAAGTAATATAGTAGCGAAACCTATAAATCTAAATACACAGCTAGAGGCAGTTGCTATCACAATAGAAGTCCCTCAAAAGATCAGCATCTGCAACATATATATACCACCGAACTATCAATTAGACATTAATGAACTAGAAATGCTACTCCAACAAATAGTTAGCGACATTAACCAAAGTGTATACAATTTCAACAATATCATCTTGAACGCAGCACATAATCATATCGGTAAAACCAAACCAATGATAAACAAAAACTGAGTTTCATGGTGGAACGAAGAGTGCGGCGCAGCAATCACAGCAACCAAGAAAGCATTAAATAAATACAAAAGACAAAGAACTACTGACAACCTGATAGATTTAAAGCGAAAGAGGTCACGTGCAAAACTAATAACAAAGAAAAGTCAAAAGGATTCTTGGAAAAAGTTTGTAAGTAGTATAAACAGTTCAACACCATTAGCAACAGTCTGGAAGAAGATCAAAAGCATAACCGGAGCCAAGTCATACTCACTTATAAAATGCTTGAAGGATGGAAACACAACACATACAACGAATGAAGCAATAGTTGAAGCATTTAGTGAAACTTACCTCAAAAGTTCCAGCAACCAAAATTACAGCGATGAATTTCTAAAACACAAAACAGAGCTAGAATCAATACCAATATCAATACAGAACAACCAAGACCCAGTGAATATAACAATCTCCGAACACGAAATGGAAGAAGCCCTTAACGATTTGAAAGAAACTACTGCAGGACCTGACGACATACCTACTATCTTTCTGAAAAATCTTCCTCAAGTAGCTAAACAACATTTACTAAGAATCTTCAACAAAATCTGGACTGAGAATATGTTTCCTGATATATGGCGCCAAGCATTAACGATACCGATACTAAAACCAACCAAATCATCTCTTGTGCCTGAATCTTATAGACCAATAAGTTTAACATGCGCTATGTGCAAGCTATTAGAAAAAATCATCAATAAAAGGCTCCTATGGAGCCTAAATAAGTCGAATCTACTAGCTAAAGAGCAGTCCGGTTTTAGACAGAACAGATCCACCATAGACAATGCAGTAGACCTGGAAACATACATATATGAATCTTTCGAGAACAAACAGCATTGCCTTGCGGTATATTTTGATATGACTAAAGCATTTGACACTATTTGGAGACATGATATCCTCTTAAAATTACACGGATGGGGTTATGATGGGAATATCCATCCAGCACCAGTAATAGTACAAAATTTCCAGGAAATAGTCAACAAATACCAAGACCATGAGAAAATATACACAGATGCATCAAAACTTGACAATAGAGTAGGAACAGCTGTTGTGACATCCACTACTACCATTAAAATGAAATTACCAGACGAAGCAACAATTCTAACAGGAGAATTGTATGGAATATTAGAAGCCATGAAACACGTACAGAATCAGAACATCCAACGAACCCTCATAATAACTGATTCTCTAAGCTCGCTTCAGCTTATTGAGGAGATATATACGAAAAACCACCTGGTGCACCAAATTAAGCAGATTCTCCACTCATTACAAGCAGACAACCACGATGTTGTATTCGTATGGGTTCCTTCTCACGTTGGTATCCACGGCAACGAAAAAGCAGACCATCAAGCTAAACTAGCAGCAAACTTGGATTGCACATCAACCATAAACATCCCAGATACAGATATAATATCTCACCTTAAACAAAGAGCTATTCAAACCTGGAATACCAACTGGCAGAACAACGCATCAAAGCTGTTTGAACTGAAACCTAGATTCGGACCATGGACAACACACACAACAAACAGAAAACACCAAACAATCATCACACGACTCCGTTTAGGTCACACCCGGATCACCCATGGACATCTCATCACGCAGGAACCAGAACCCATGTGCGAAGTGTGTGAAACCCCTCTCAGTGTCAAACACATATTAGTGCAGTGCCCTTTGTTAGAGCACTATAGAGCGGAATGTAACCTCACATCATCAACCATGTGTGATATTTTAGTACCAAATAGCAACATTAGCAATCTATTACGTTTTCTACAGCAAACTAATGTATTATATAAAATATAGCATGTAAGCCGTACCGCTACTGGCCTTTAGGTCGAAGCGGGTAATTAAATAAAAAAAAAGTGCATTTACAAAGATTTGAATCTACAAATTAAAAATAGTGGTTGTTATATACTTATCTTACACTAATACTCTGACTTTATCATGTTATATACAGGGTGTCCTAGAAGTACCCAAATGCTGCTCGTCATCCCGATAACCGAGTTCTCAAAGCAAGCACATGGTAAAGGAAGAATTTCCTTTCCTTACGACGACTTCGTACTACAAGAAGAAGGCCTGAGTACTTCAGAACGCCAAATAAGCATAGCGTATAGTGGTGTGCATATTTGTTGTAAATACTAGTCACTAAATTCAGTTGATGTTAAATAAATGTTCATCCAACTAACTTTTTAGGGGAAGGTGAAAAATTCTCCAATATTCCGGAGGGTAATTCCGTGTTAAAAAATATGAAAAAAAGTCTCTATAAACATGCGTCCGGAAATGCAGATTTCAAGATACAGTCATGAATTTAAAAAAAAAATTATATCTTAAAAATATTCACTCGATTCTGTTGAAACTTGGCAATATTATTTGTTGTATTAATAGGTTAATTTAGACTTAAATAAATTAAAATTATTAGGTCCAGTGGCGTCCCGGTTGTACCTTAGCGAATATTATTGGCAAAAAATGTACGCCACCGCCATTTTTGTAACTTTAATTTTTGTTGCTTGATTAAGCATCTAAAATAAAACTTCTTTGCCTCTTATAGTTTTTTCATACCTCACTTCGTTTTAGAGAAACACAAAATACAAACCGTTTTATTGCATGTCACTGGACAAAATTGGCTTATTAATTTTTGCTAAAAAAATCACAAGTGCAGTTCTATTTTTCGAACACGCTGTATGACATCCAAAAAACATATCGGTAGTTGGCAGGAAGTAAAACAAGCATCATGTTCAAACCTTTGCATTTTATTGAAATACTTTATTTACACAATTATGTACATGACTAGTCAATATTAAAACAATACAATTACAGCATAAAACATAAATCTCAGTCGAAACTAACCTAAGGTACTTATAGTACAGTCGAGGTGTACCATGCTTAAGACATGATCTTATAGCAGCTGCATAAAAAAGTTATATCACTGTAAGATTTCCGCTAAAATACACGTATATGGAAGAAAAGATGCAATTCATAATAATGTTGTTTTGTCTCTATAAATATAAAAGAAATATTACAATACGTAAAGTTTTACTGAAGTACAGGTATTTTATGACCCAAAAAATTGATCTCACATTCATAATTAAAACATATTTTCGAAATAGTGAGGAAAACATATTTTCGAAATAGTGAGGTAGTTGAAAATATTCTTTGGAATGTGGTTTATCAGAGGGTCATTTCTTAAGTAAGGACCGTTTTGTAATGGAGTCGGAGAAATTTTATTTATGAATGAAAAATGTGTCAAGCTGAAATATGAACATTATTTCATTTTTTGACAGAGTCACCATTCATAATTTAAACATTTTCCAAGTTGTGGCACTAATTTACTTTAAAAATGACCGTCGTACTTATCAATATAATGGAATTTTACACAAAAACCGATACCAAAAAAGGCTGATATAAAACTTTATTCTTATCTCTAACTTCTACGGTACATAGCGGCGCATAACCTCAATTGAAAGTCTTTGTAAAGTAGTTTTCCTCCTAAAGGTACTCGGCTCAAGAACATGCTAGGTGACATCAGACATAACGCTTTCCCGTTCATATGGAACCTGGATGCAGGGACTTTAGGTAAGTTGTGGACGGATGTGACGTAGTTGAGCCAGTTGGCCACGTCTTCTCTGGTCCATTGTCGTGGATCTGGAAAGAACAAAATAGTGTCAAGTAGGTGAACTCAGAATATTTTCTTAGGGCTTGCTATAGGTTTGACAGGACCGTTCGACATTATACAGCGTGTTTGGTGCATCATTTGCCAAATTGAAATGGCGGACAGGGGAGGAATTGTTCTATCACCCCAGGTCCCTCGAACAGTTTTTAGCCCAACGGCATTAATTATGTAGATTTTTTATTTTTTTTTTAGTAAAAACTCCAAAATGTAATACATGTAATAATAATATAATACCATTGGATCAAGAAAATATGTTTTTTCAACATGATGGCGCCACTGCACATTTTGGACGCAATGTTCGAAATTTTTTGAACGTCAATTTTCCAGACAGGTGGTTAGGCCGAGAAGGTCCTATAGCGTGGCCGCCACGTTCACCTGATCTAAATCCATTGGATTTCTATTTTTGGGAGTCATTAAAAGACCTAGTTTACTCGACTGAAGTAAATACTCAAGAAGATTTACTTCAAAGAATCCATCAGGCTGCAAATGAAATAAGAAGAAAAAGGTTTTCCACTTTTCGGGCTACGCAATCATTAGTTCGTCGAGCGAGACTCTGTATCCAACAAAATGGGAATTTATTTGAACACTTATTGTAAAGCTAGTTTTAAGTATATCCAACTCTATGTCTTCTTTTTTAAACAAATTTCAATTTCGTGCGTAGAAAAAATTTATTTCTTTTGTTTTTGCCTAAATGTTGCATTTATGTAATATTTACCAATTATTAAATTAGTTTTTTCGTTGCCATGGCTAATTATTCAACAATTCAAGTTCGCAGTACATTTCTTATCATGTGACAAATTCTTTACTTTGATTTTATTCAAAAATGACACAATTTATCGATATTCAATAAGAGTACCTTTTTTATGTAGAAAACCCTAAATCTTCAAATTCTAAGATTGAATTTCAAAAATAGAATCACACAAAAATTTTGGGGCTCAAATATCCTGAGTCCGTCCCTGTTACATACGCTTCCAAACAAAACTGTCTAAAATTGTTAATATCTTTAAATCCAGCATAAAAAACTAGGCTAGAATACCAAATTTTATGTCTTTATCTCAACACGTTTCGGAAATATCGAGGAAAAACCATCTTCAGGGGAGCCCCTTTAAAAGACCGTAGCGCACTTAGGGGAAGTTTTTCGACCTATGTTTATATAAACTTTTCTTCCTATTTTAAGTTCTAGAAACCGCTAGTAGAATATTGCACACTTTTTTCGGGACACCCTGTATATTACAATGTTCTATAGACAATAATGATTCTACTCAGTAAACATTATTATCAGGCTTTAAACTCTACATGAGTGGCCCCATCTCCACAGTACCAGCTGAATTAAGATTTACGAAGTTCTGTTACAGTTTCCTCACAAGATATTTCTCATCTCAATTTCATCTAACCTTCATCCCAGCGGATGGCGTCACGTACATCATTTTCCAGGCTTCTCTAGATCTTGTTTGAATTTTATCATATAGGGAGTTAATTATGCATTTCTAATTATTACGGGTTACGCGGCTTGCCGGCGTCACTTCGTTCCTGGCATTCGAGCGGTAGTGTTGTGCGGTTTGTGTGTTTAAACAAATTATAATGTCGTTTAATTGGGACGAAGAAGCTGTGCTCCTCTTAATTGAAAAATTTCATGAAACTGATATATTATGGAATCCCAGAAATGCAGACTATAAGAATAAGAACAATCGACGCATTGAACATAATTGCAAGTGTATTTGACATTGATAAAGGCGAAGTAGAGAGAGAGTTAAACAATGTAACCTCTCATTATTTTCGGGAAAAAAAGAAGTTCGAACAGTTGCACAAATCTGGTACAGGCATAGACGATGTACAAAAAACCCCAAAAACATGCTATTACGCAAACGCTGACACCCCGCATCATCTTTTTTATACTCTTCTATCATTACAGAATCGTTTCGCCATTTTCTATTTTGTAAACTTGGGTGCAACCAAAACCTTCTCGTCCTTTTGAATTTTTTTCCTATTAAAATAAAAATTACAACTGCGGCGGCTGTGCTGATGATTTCCTTATTCATTTTAACCAACCAACCATAAAATATGCACTTCACTAGCGTTCTATGTGACTGTCACAACCGGAATGATGCTTGGCGGCTTGTATTGCCGACGGCATAGCCGCTCGACATAAACCCGGCGGCATTGCCGCCCGCTTGTGTGTAGTAGCTTTTAGACTGGTTCGAATATAAGACAATTTATCACCAGATTTACGACTTGGGATAAAGAATTCCTGACTCAACTTTAAGTGCTTTACTGAATTATATTTTGTATACTAAGTGACATATAAATCCGAACACCCAGTTTAAATGGTTTTATTTTAATAAAATTTTGTATAATAAGTACTTAATGAAGCATAAAATTCAAATTCAATTTTTGTGAAAGGTGTTTTGTTTCGCATGCGCAAAAATTAAGCTATATTAAGCTAAATCATTTCAATGGCTACAAAGTTATTTATTATCAGTATACTATTCTCGAATATTTGAAAATTTTGCGTACACATCTTGTTGAAGTTAAATGTGAGCCAATGGTGTGTCAGTGTATTAAAAGCATCTTAAGTTAAAAGAATGTAAAACATAACTAGGCTATTACTTCATTTTTTTTTTCGTTCGGCAGATATTTTAATCCTAAGCGAATTTTTCATAGGCTGACAATGAATGCCTTCCGAAACATAACAACAATGAAGAATTTGGCAAAAACTGTTGCTTGTGCAGAAAAAATCTGATTACCTTCAACATCTCCTCAAAAAAACTCTGCAGCTTTACACAGCACTTAAGTCATTCAAAATTGAGGGTTCTGATATAACTGATATCAGCCTGCTATAGGAATATATACTAAGTGACATATAAATCCGAACACCCAGTTTAAATGGTTTCATTTTAATAAAAATTTTTATAAGTACTTAATGAAGCATAATAAGTAAATGATAAAAATTTCAAAATGATTGCACTGCTTTAAAGCCCTTTGACCTTTAATAATGTGTGGATGCACCCTGATGTGCTACGCATTCTCCAACGCGCCTAGGCATGCTTCTGATCAGGTGGTCAATGTCCTCCTGTGGTATCTCATTCCAGGCAACCACCAACTCCTCTCGAAGTGCTTCTAGAGTCTGAGGAGGACGTCGCAAATTGAGCAATCTCCTAGCCATCATATCCCACACGTGCTCAATTGGGGATAAGTCGGGAGATCTTGATGGCCATGGTAACAATGTGACATCATTATGTTGAAAGAAGTCTATTGTGACTCTTGCAACATGTGGTCAGGCATTAGCTTGTTGGAAAGTTGGATCTGTCAGGGTGTCAAGATAGGGAAAGATGGGGTTCTAGAACTTCGTGGATATAACGCTGCGCGTTCATGTTACCTCTGATGAAGATTAAAGGTGACCTGGAACCATAAGCTATAGCACCCCAAACCATAACTCCAACAGTGTGATGAACATGTCTTTCAACAAAAAACTGTGGATTCCTCCTTTCACCACGTCGCCTTCTAACCCTGGCACGACCATCGTGCATGCCTAAACAAAATCGAGACTCGTCACTAAAGACAGTACTGTTCCATTCCTGATCTCATAGTGACCGTTGTCTGCACCACTCAAAGCGATTACGTCGGTGTTCTCGAGTTACTTCGCATGCCAATAGGTCTTCCGTGTTCTGCAAACCATTCATTTGCAATGGACCTGGTAGTGGAGAAACGGTCCCTTAAGGCCAATAATCTTAGGCGGCGATCTTCACGGTCTGTTGTTCTACGGTGGCGTCCAGTGCCCCTTGCTCTTTGCGTACGGCCTTCTCGAAGCCATGCCTGACAACACCTAACCACAGTGTCTACACTTCTTTGCACTCTAACTGCAATTGCCTGAAAAGAAAGTCCAGCTTCCCGAAGTCCCACTATACGGCCCCTATCAAACTCACTAAGTTGTATTAAAATAAAACCATTTAAACTAGGTGTTCGGATTTATATGTCACTTAGTATATTTTGGATGCCAAAATCTAGAACTTTCTCCACCTGATTTTCAGCTTTAACACTGACAATACGTATCATACATCTGTTTGGGCGCATATTTGTCTCAAATGTTAAGAAATTATTCTAGGGTATATTGGTAAATGATATTATTTGGGCATTGTAAAATGCAATGCTTCCATACAAATCCTACACTGAAAAATAGGCACCCTACCGTCCCGGGTTCGATACTGGGGAGCGCAAGCATTTTTTTGTTTCTTCCATAGATATTCTACTAGATGCAAAACAAAATTGAAAACTTGTGAATGGTACCTCATGACTAACATGCGCTTTCCAGGCAAGTACCTTCAACTGCCGAACAGAATAAAAAAGAGTCAAATCCAAGCAAACACAAACGCATCATTCTATAGCCATCCTTATTAATTTTGCTTTTTTGAAAAGTTATTTTGATCCAGAATTCTCGTATTGGTATATAACAGTGTCAAAAAACATGCCTCAAAGTTATTCCAGTTAGGGGGAAAGTAAAATTGAGTCAAGTAGACTAACTCAGTGAAATTTTTGTTGTACCCACAAGCGAAAAATGCAACGGAACTCGGAGAAAACAGCTTTTTTGAATAATCTTAAAACAGTTTACTATATACCTTTAGGTAAATTATCTTCTTCATAATCTGCTGGATGTCTGTAAGCAGGAACTCGTTCCCACTCTGAGGATAATCCATAAAGTGCTGGCGATTGAGCAGTTTGTAGAGCCATAGTGATATTTTTCCTATAGTAGCCTATTTTGGACGGTTATTTTCTCCAACCTGTAAAAAAATTAAAATGTTATCACAACAATAATTGATACTACAGGTTTCGTAAATGATTCAAACGATAAATATTTATTGAAGATACCACAAGTGCTTCTCAGTACATGTGAGTCAATAAGCTGTGACATAAGTTGAATCACTGATTTCGTATTTTGTCAGTCCTTCAAATTGTTTAACGACCTATTAATTTTTCTTTTTTCTTTTTGTTTTTTTATATCAGCTGACATCGGTGGTGATAATCACAGGCGTATCCAGAAAAAAAGTTGGGGGAGTTAATGACGGATCCAGCATTTGTATACTAAGTGACATATAAATCCGAACACCCAGTTTAAATGGTTTTATTTTAATAAAAGTTGGTGAATGTATTTATCTTACTGTAAATAACAAGTGAAAAATTTTCAGCCTTATCAGTTGGACATTCCGGTTTTTGTACTGCTTTTTTTTAATTCACTAACGCTCTAAAAATGAATATTTCAGCCGCAGTAAAGAATCAAGGTTGGCGGATTTTGGTTCTTGACATCCTTTACGATCGGTTACGATGCCTAGAGTACGGAGACCTGTACGATTTCGTCAACTTAGTGAGTTTGATAGGGGCCGTATAGTGGGACTTCGGGAAGCTGGACTTTCTTTTCACGATGGTCGTGCCAGGGTTAGAAGGCGACGTGGTGAAAGGAGTAATCCACAGTTTTTTGTTGAAGGACTTGTTTATCACACTGTTGGAGTTATGGTTTGGGGTGCTATAGCTTATGGTTCCAGGTCAAATTTAATCTTCATCAGAGGTAACATGAACGCGCAGCGTTATATCCACGAAGTTCTAGAGCCCCATCTTTTACCCTATCTTGACACCCTGGCAGATCCAACTTTCCAACAAGATAATGCCCGACCACATGTTGCAAGAGTCACAATAGACTTCTTTCAACATAATGATGTCACATTATTACCATGGCTACCAAGATCTCCCGACTTATCTCCAATTGAGCACGTGTGAGATATGATGGGTAGGAGATTGCTCAATTTGCAACGTCCTCCTCAGACTCTAGAAGCACTTCGAGAGGAGTTGGTGGTTGCCTGGAATGAGATACCACAGGAGGACATTGACCACCTGATCAGAAGCATGCCTAGGCGCGTTGGAGAATGCGTAGCACATCAGGGTGCATCCACACATTATTAAAGGTCAAAGGGCTTTAAAGCAGTGCAATCATTTTGAAATTTTTATCATTTACTTATTATGCTTCATTAAGTACTTATACAAAATTTTATTAAAATAAAACCATTTAAACTGGGTGTTCGGATTTATATGTCACATAATACTTATGTCATAATGAATTTGATGATACAAAATTTTATTAAAATAAAACCATTTAAACTGGGTGTTCGGATTTATATGTCACTTAGTATATAAGAAAACGAACAATGGCGTATCAAGAATAGCTAATAAGTCATAGTTTTTATTACATAGAACTTAGTAACAGTAAGATCTATTATATTTTGCGTGGGACAGCTATTTTGTAGTTAGTGGAGAAATGCCCGTAAACATGTTCATATTGTTCGCCTCCTGATATGACAAAAAAAACCTTGGAATGCCTTCAACATTCTATCAACGAATACATTTGTTTAGTTTTTATCAAAATTCAATAAATAATTCTGGGTGTTGCACATGATACCACTAAGTATTTACGCGTTAAGTAGAAGAACAGTTGTCAAGCTGAACTTCGCCCATCCCAATAAAGGGCATTATTATTATTACTGTTATTATTATAATGTATAGGGAAAACGTAGTAGGAGGTGGGGTTCTGCCCCAAAGCCTTCCTCGTCTGAATACGACACCAGACGTGATAATAATTGTTCGAACTGATGTTTTCAACTACCACGGTACCTACCAACGACCCTGACATCTCACAAGTAGTACTTCCGCTTCATTTCACCCATATACAAATATCCAAGGGGTGAGGGTCGGCTTTAAATAAGTTCAAGAGTGTGCTAAAGCCGTTATTGTCGATAAGGATGTCGGTCTGTTTGACTAACAGTTCCGCTCGGAGGGTGTCCTTCCTAAACACAGCAGGGGATGGTGCATAAAGTACCAAACATGAACATGTGTTTCGTGTCTGCGGAAATATCAGCGGGAAATGCTGGGTATTATTATATCTATATACAGGATGTCCTGAAAGTTAGGACTTTTCTTTTCAGAAACTACTACGTTTAAAGTAGATTGACTTTATACCTCCTACGCCTTCGTTGGGGGTTTTGAAGCAACCTGATGAGTCAAATCGTTTTAAAAGGCGAAATCGTGATTAGGAAGGTTCACTTAGGTACAATGAATCTTCGATCTTTCCATATCAAACTATATAAAGCAAATGTCTGTTTCCATGGCAGATGTAGAGACCTTATAAAGAGATTAGAATTTTCAATGTTGCTGATTAAGCGGTTTTGTGAAACATCCCCTTTTTTGAGAACAAGCAAATCTGTCGATATTGGAGTGCGGAGGAGCCGTCGCTGAAGCATCAAAAACCACTTCATTGCCAAAAAAGTCACAGTTTGTGTGTGTGAGAGCTGCCAATGTCTTTATACAGGGTGTCCGCAAAGTTGGGGTTTTCCTTTTCAGAAACAACTACCCTTGAAATAACAAAGGTAATGTGTAGTAAAACGAGGGCGACCAAGTAAAAAAAAAAATAAAGGAAAAAGTACTCACTCTCCAGTTGACGAGAAGGGCTAAGTACGTCTCTGCCCGAAATCATACCGCTCCAACAGAAAATGAAATCAGCTGAAGCACTACCGAGCAGACGCAGAAACCACATTGATTGTCTTACACTTAATGGCACATCTTCTAACAAGGAAGGCAAAATGTTGCGTAAAAAGTCTAGGTATTGCATTCCGTCCAATCGATTTTCTATTGACCAAACATGAGTGTTGCGAAAGTTATTCACCCCATTACGCGTGAACGTAGATTTGTCTGTCACCAATATGCACTTCAAAAAGTCCGGATTATTGTCATGTTGATACAACAACCACTCACAAAACCGCACTCTTGCTGGAAAATCGTCAGGTTGAAGGGCTTGTACACGTTGGACGTGAAACGGATACAGCCCCTCTTCACGCAGCGTTTGCCACACTTTAGTTTTTGATTCTTGCACTTCTCTAGCCACGTCTCTAGTGCTTGTTGAGGGATTCTCGTCCACGCGATTACCTCTACATGCGTGACCGTAACCGTCGGTTGAAGGTTGCATACTGACCTAACACACTGACCCCGACCCAGTTCTGCCGTCGGGTTGAGACCTTGTACCAATCGGTGATGTCCCGGGTCGCGGCTACAGGACGGTATTCAGATATTTTTGATGTTGCAGAGCCCTTTATCTCGGTTCCCTTAAGACATTGGTGTATATGGTACTAAGAAAAATTGCTTATGTTTTCAAGATCTACACGTCGTGTAAAGGAAAACCCCAATTTTGCGGACACCCTGTATATCATAAAAATTAGCAAACTCTTCTAGGTATAAACTGCTTTCATTCACATTGTTTTCAAAAGTGAATTTTGTTATGACCCACCCTGTATAAAAACAGTTAGGTCATCATTTACAAAAGCATCGCAGAACGCTGAAGTGGTACGTATTTCTAACATCTAAATATATAAATATAACGTGTAGCGGTGTAAGTGACGACACCACCACAGACCAGTTGGAGTTGTTACCCATTGCACAGGCGGCAGTGGCCTTCACGACGATGCAGCATCACGATGTGGACGCAACGCCAAGGATTGCAAAGTTCTCTCGAATTATGAGCACAATATACACATGACTTGTATCATTTAATTTTTCCGTTGTTATCGGGATCAGATAAACCGACGGAAATCAGTGACATGTTGCGAATTTCGCGATTCAGTCCTTCCTCACCAGAAGTAAAATCAAGTTAAGTAAAGCATTAATGTTTTAAGTAATTTTATTTGCAAATCAAGTAGTTTCTAATAAAATAATAATAATGTATGTGTTATATCATAAATTTATCATTGACTGCAGGAATATTTCAGGATTTGTTGAAGAATGCGTTAGTTAGGGCAATACATAAAAAGAATGACCTTGATGATGCAAAAAATTACAGGAAAATATCTGTTCTGCCTAATTTAAGTAAAATTTTCGAGAAAATAATTTATAGAAGATTAATAGGCTACTTGGAGAGGCACTCACTTATTTCGGAGAATGGTTTCAGGAGAGGAAGGTCTACTATAAGAGCGATTTATCAGGCACTCTGATATCCTGGTATCATTGAATGATAATAAACTAACTATGGCTATGTGCGTTGACTTGTTAAAAGCATTTGACAGGGTCAACCATAAAATTCTGTGTAGTTAACTAGAGGTTCAGCTTCGAGACTAATAGAATCTTACTTGAAGAACAGAACTCAACAGCTAGCCGAGTTCGACTCTTGTGGTAGACTTATAATATCTGATAGGGTTAAGTTGTCGAAGGGTGTTCCTCAGGGATCCATTCTGGGGCCTTTACGTTATATAATGTGTACGAATGAATTGTGTAGTGTGACTGGTCAAAACACGATTCTTTATGCAGATGACACCACCTTAATATTTTCTGAGGTCGACTCGGAGAGTATGCTGGTGAGTGTGAGAGAAGCCTGCGATGCTCTAGATAGGTAATTTTTAGGCCATGACGTTCTATTGGATGCGTCAAAGACACAATGCACTATTTTTGGAAATAGAATTGAACACAACCTCACCTTATCATATAATAATACATTTTTTCAAAACAGCAATAACATATCTCTTCTGGGAGTAACCATTGACAGCATGTTGGATCGGAGATCGCATATCGAGTGGTTTCAAGTAGGGTAGGTTCCGATGTGGCTGTAACGGCATATCATGCTTTTATACACTCAAAGTTAAGGTACGGTATATTCAGTATGAAAGATGATGGAAGCTGTAAACCGATATTCATAAAAAATAAACTATTAACTGTGATCAGTATGTATATTATACTAGTTTCATTGATGTTT